TCGCGAATGTTAGAGCAACTACGAATAAATGTACTTTAGCTGTAGTGGGCACCCACTGGGTGTCGGTTTCACTCTTTGGGAGATCAATGATTCCCCACTATTTGTCCCAAACAGATCGAAACAGTTGTCCAGTAATAAGATTAATTGTTTACGCAATTGCACTGTATTCTAAAACGAAAAGTAAGTAATACCTTCTGTTATAAGTTTGAGTTCTAGTCCGGTTATGAAGCAAATTAACCATATCCCAAGTAGTGAAGCCCACATCCAAGACCGTCAAGAGTACCTCTGAACAGTAGACTGGACTACTCCAACCTTGATACTCTAGACTTCACAGGTTGTTTTGTTCAGACGAGAGGGTACGTGTGTGTGTGTGTGAGAGTGCGAATACGCTGTTTCTTGTTTTAGCAAACTACTGTGAAAACTGACCACACATTACGTCTCCTGTGCAACGAAAAAATAATTCTAGTTGATAAAAACTTATAACCCGTGTCATGTGGCACGCGGATTAGAGGATCGCGCAAGTCGAGCGACAGAAAAGCTGCGTCCCTCTAAAGTAGACTGCGGTGACAGGTTTTGAATCTCCGACCAAACCAGAGCATACCCCTGCTGCACTATAATGACCAACTGTGACACACAAATGAGTCCATGGACTAACCGCTTCTATCTTCCTTCCTTCTTCGTATTCTGCGATATGGTGTACGAGAGGAATGGGGGTTTGATTTGATTAGATGATGAATTGGTCCGGTAAATGAGGCGTGAACTGAAAAGCTAAGATGCACCGAACAGCTGTTTCGATCTTGTCGGATCTCATCAGTAGTTCGAATCCATCGACCCAACGGGGATCGAACCCGGGATCTCACAGGTAGAACGCAAGCAGACTACTCACTCGGCCACCGAGGCCGGTGATCGCACCGTTTCTCATCTAATCTCCCCTTTGTTGATCATCACAATAATCCTAAACGGTTTCCGTCAGATTTTAGTTCGCTCTTGTTTTACGCATTTATTAGTCATTGCTCAACTAAGCATGTTCTTTGTTTTATCGAACCGAATACCTCTCTCACTGTTTTTATCAGTACCAACTGCTGCTGTGATTCATTACTGGACTGAGAAAAAGGAATAACATTCGTGATCTTGATTAAAATGATCAATGGTTATTAGCGTCCAGCTCCACATCTGAATCTGTCCGTTTCACATTCATCATTGTTTCATTTTTCGCTCTTCCTTACTCGTTCCACAGATGTCCAAACGTGCCGCGGAAAACACACCTAGCCTTCCAGAAACGGACAAGTCAAATTCAACTGTCTCGACCGGGATCCCAATCAAACGGTATTATCGTCAACGGGCACATTGTAATCCATGGTCGGATCACACACTGGACTATCCACCACGACCGGAGGACATGGACTGGTCCACTCTATACTTACCCGCGAAAATCCCGGATCTGTCGGGAGACTGTGTGAATCAGGATAGCAGCAAATGTGATGATCCGGCTGCCGCGGTGGTCCGATTTGTCGATGTCGGATGCGGCTACGGCGCACTGTTATTCAAATTGGCTCTCAAATTTCCACACATACGATCACTTGGGTTGGAAATTCGGTTAAAAGTGTCCGATTTTGTCCAGGTTAGTTCGTGTCTGTTCTTCCTTTCTCACTGGCTTCGTTTTATTCTCAACAGATGGAACTGGGTCAGCTTGCACAGTTTGCACAGAAATGTGATTGATATAACTGAGCTCGAACTCTGCCTGAGTTAATCGATTTCACAACCGGCTACTTTGGATTGTTGTACAGTGACCACGTTGTTTATTTACATTTATCTATTCTAATAATTTTCCATGTAAATCTATGTTGATTCTGAACAAATTAAACAAGAGTACAATTCAGATTCCACTCAAAAATCTGACCCTCGAGGAGTTCTATTCACCTGGATCGTCAATAACATTTCCGAAGTGTATTTGACCTTTGAACTCGGAAATCCCAGGGGACCGGATTTTGTTTGACCCTTGTCTTCCAGTACTACTACACCTTTTCCCATGAAGCTTTAGTCAAAACCCACAGTCCTTTAGCCTTGATCCAAAAATCTTTTAGCCGAAATGCTTTAGCTACAACCCGCAGTCATTTAACCTTGATGCACAAACTTTAGTTATACCGCTGTATTCGAGTCTCAGATCAAAAAGTATGGCAATATTCTGAGGTCCAGGAATGTTTGAACATTTTATTTTCTACAAATGTTGATGTTGCAAAGCTTAGTTCAGAAATGAGATGTGACGGTCGCACGTCGCATCACATGTGCCCGTATCGTCAAACCATTTAGCACATCTCTCTTACAGCTTCAATGTTTCTGTATAACATGCAATAGTCGTGTGAGTAAAAATCGCAAATGTAACACAAACAGTAGATTGTTTTGCATCCACAAGTCCTAAAGTAAATCAAAAAATGATACCGCAAAATGCTAACCGTTCCGTATCTCCACTTAAAGTGAACTCCGCTCTTAAGGTTTGAATACAATAACAGTCGAATGATAATAAATACCGTTCACAATATACACCTTCAGAGTTTTCCGATAAATTTGATCTGACTCACCCGCAACGGTATGACTAAAGTTTGTGAATTAGGGCTAAAGGACTACGGGTCGTGACTAAAGCACTGCGGGTTTTGGCTAAATAATTACGGGTTGAGGCTGAAGGACTGTGAGTTTTGACCAAAGCGTGATGGAGGAAGATGTAGTTTCATCTTCATTATCGTCATCGTCGTCTGGACAAGCCATTTTGTACTACTAATCGTCTCACGTGGAAGAGCCTAATCCGAGGTCTGAGCCAAGTCACTTTTCTGTTCACGTCTGTTTTTTTTCACGTTACATTCTCCCATCAGATTGAATCCGTCATCGCTCCGTTGTATTTCACAAAGAAGCAAACTATTTGAATAGATACACCTGTACACCTAGATTTTGTCATTTTTCTGTGTGCCTGTTATCCATGTCTGGAGAAATGGATCCGTTCTGGATTACATATTCTGATTTTTTATGTTTCTGCTTTAGTTTGTACAATCTCTCTCACTTCCGGTATATCCGTCCATATACCTCTTTTCGTGCAGGAGAAAATTCGAGCCCTTCGAGAGAATCAGCCGGGATCGTACGGAAACATTGCTTGCCTGCGTACGAATGCGATGAAGTTTCTACCTAATTTCTTTCACAAAGCAAGTCCCCAGTTTCTATTCAATGATTTCCTTTTCTGTGAACTCGAAAACTGTGTTTGCGTGTGCGTATGACATGTTTTTAGCGGTGAAGTTTCATCGGAGATGGTCTCGGACAGGTCATTGATGTGCGACCTCACTCGTTTTTCTTTCTATCTGCAAACATACCAACGGAACACGTGAGACTGTTGTTGATCGAAATCGGGGCGTTCACGTACGCGATTTGGATGCATTTAGACCCATCCCAACCGGAAAAGCACTTTGCGGCTGGTCAACACACTCCCACACACATCAAATTATACTCGGGATTTTTCCGCGTTACACACGGACGTTTTCAATCGGTCGACTTTATCAACCATTGTTCGCATTTCGAAAGAACGGTTGATGCGAACGATAGGGACCGTCTTGCCGCAGTATAACACTCCTCTTCATTAGAATGCTTTGTGTTTAAGTCTGTGGCGGTAACCTAGTGATGGGATGTGAGGGTAGGTAGAACAAAAAGCACTGTCGGAGCTGTCACACGNCGTGCGGGCGGTGTCCTGTGCTCATCTGTGTGCACTGAATTCGGCACTCAAGTACGACACATATCGAATAGTGAGTGGAGAACAATCAAGACATCATCGTGTTGCCTGTAGTTCCCATCCTATTCACTGGTACGAAGTAGCAGTTGGATCTGCGTAAGTCATCTATGGTTCAATGGACTCCCGACAATTGAATATCAATCAACCGGCTAAGAGCGCTCCATGCGGGGTTTGACACCACATTAGTAGTTGCGGCTAGCCACCATGAGAGAATTTTAGACGAAAAACCGATAAGGTTAGAACGAAAGTTCCGTTACACTGCCCCGTAAGGATGCGCATCTGTCTGGGGTCGGTCACGATGACAATCGTTTGTGTATATGCAGACATTGCCTGTGTCCAGAATTGGGTCGTTTTGATCACTCGGTCCGTGTTGCATACAGTTAATCTGAATTCGCAGGGAAACACCACGTTTCCGGATAGTCTTTGTAGATAGTTTTGACTGAACACATTCGTTGTGCCAATCTTCGGGTGTCTGGTTAAAATAGATATCTGTAAATGTGGATTTCGGTGAAGTTGAACCCCGGTTGAAATCGTTTAACGCTTCAATTCTGGCATCATATGACGATGAATAAGCAACGGATTTAGTTATATTCTTTCATTTTTTGTCTTTTATTTAATGTACCACTGTGTGGTCAATTGTCAAGGAGACAATTGCGCGGAGTCGAAGGCTACCTAACGGCATCACAGAAGTAGGGAAGTTGGACGACGTTGGTGATGACGAGATTTGAACACACAATCTGCGGTCTGCTGTGATATTGATCAGTGCCGTGCCAGCACCACCGCCGCCCAGGTTGTAGTCACCCATCACCAGAACACATACCACCAAGTACCACCTAAGAGACACCATAGAGAGCAATCTACGGTGGCCCTCTCATGTACTAGCTTGTGTTTGTAGACTATGTCGCAAGCTACGGCAATTTGAAGTGAAGCATAAAACTATATTTTTTTGTTTGTCAATGCATTTTTTCCTGTCATAACTTATCGTTCGCCCGTTATTTTCCCTGGACTACTTAGAAAGGATTTTATTACTATACGTCGCGGTTTAGTAATTATCAGCCGTGTTTCTCTTATTCCTTTAAACACTATGATCACAAAATTGTGTGATTTGCATATGACTTCATGTGAAAATTTCGCTCTCAAAATACTCAATGACCCCAATCATCCGCTCAATCCCGATTTATCTGCTTGCCGTTCCCACGCATTACAACCCGATCCAATTTCCGCTACTTACCCTCCCGCGTAAACTTGTATCGCACTTCAACAGTTCCCTGTCTGGCTCATATTCTCACTGATACGGTGAAGATCCGTAACGAACTAATTTAAAACCTACAAAGATGAACTTCTTGTTAGGTTTTATCATTGTTTTATATGAATTTTCATTTTTTGTATCATTCTAACGGCAAACACATTTGTTTTTGACTGGAACGAAGACACAGTTACCTTTAAAAGTGATTGCATTACAATACAATACTTCGAACCAGTGTTACGATATTAACTGTGGCCAGTAGTCGGAGTCCGTCGCACTTGAATTAAGGAACCACCGAAAACTTCAAATGAGATTGGTGTTTCATTTCCTTCCGCATAGCTGCCGCCAGCTTTCGAAGAGGGTGGCAGCATCGTGAGTCAAGTCTGTTGGTTCAAACTATGCTTGTGTGTGTCTGTCTGTCTGTCAGCTGTGCATTGTACTCACCGGTAGTCGCAGTTGCCTTTTAATTGTTGTTCGAGGCCATCACGACGAGACTGCACCTTGACGTGGTGTGATGGCTTGTGCACCTCTTTGACCCAACAAGCTACACAGGATTGCTTTTGTCGAACCACGAGGTCTTATCATGCCTGAAAGGTCAATGGGTCGAGGTCAAACGAAGTTAAGTCTCCTGGTCCCCCATGTTGGGGTTTCGACTTAAGTTGGTGTCTCAGTCGGTAAAACGTGGTGGAGGACTAATTGATCCAAGTAAATGAGCCTCCACTTCACTTCACCCGCTGCCTTGCGGCTAGGTTCTTGTCAGAACCAAAGACTTTGGTTGAGATCCCTAATCGTTCTCCTGCTTAGTGGCTGGACACCTTAGCAGTACCCGTCCATCAAACCGAAATGCATATGCACTGCGAGTTTGGCGGCGATCAGTGAAGTTCGCTCATTGTACTTCACTGTACTATGATGATGATGATGTTCTAGGCTCAGATGATAAGCGCTACTCCAGACAGCGTATTGTAAATTATTTATTTTGTGTGTAAAATCCTGTGTATTAAAACCCTATCCGCACAGTTCAATGCTTGTAACCCTAACCAGTATGCATACATCCATTCTCAAGGTTCCCTGGATGACCTCGCTTATCCATCTCTCATCCTTGATAACAAAAGCAAGGTTGTCCGAATGTGCTTTCTTGGCCATAGTGGTGCCTTCAACACGATTGATAGGCGGATATTGCTAAATACCCTCTTTTCAGGTGGTATTCAACCTTCAAGGTAATCGGGGTCATCCACTGAAGCAAATGGTTGACCTTCATCGATTGCGCTGGTTGGGACATGTGCTACGCATGTCATCGGATAGGTTACCACTGCGAGCGATGTTTGCCGAGGCAGGTAGCGGTTGGAAAAAGATCAAGGGCGCTCAGAATAAGACCTGGCATGAGGGTATGAAAACCCTGACTAGGAGACTGGCTCACATAGGTCCCGTTAGGCTCCCCGACTGGGGACCCCGAGATCATGGTCACCAATGGTTAGAAACACTGAGCGATATGGCTGGGTGTCATAAACAGTGACGCTCATGCGTCTACTCATTACTCTTGTAACTTCAGTCTCTGTAAATGCGTTATCTTCCGTTTGAATCTGCTGTCAACATTCTAATCATCATTCTGCTGTTTTTTATCCAAATGGGCAGCCAAAACCGGTGCAAGAAAGTGCATGGTTAATGATTGTAAGAACTGAACTGTGCAACCTCCTACGATCAAACTCTTAGTTAACTATTTCTCCAACCGTCACCAGTTCCCATGCTACAAAGGTCGTACATCTTCACTGCTGCCCTCCTCACAAGGTGTACTGCAAGGCACCATTTCATCCCCTTTTCTATTCTCTGCTTACTTTTCCTCTATGCTAGTCAGCAATTATTTTCTTCTTGTTAAGTATACCGACGATACCTTAATCGAACTGACCTACCCCAACCCATCATCTCAAACCACTCTAACAGATGAAATATCAAAAATAGTGGATTGGTTTCGACAAATGAACCCCCAAAATGTAATGACGTAATATTTTCCTTTTTGAAAGATCAAAAGTATGAACTGTCAAATATCTGCCCCCATTTATCTATCTGCGGTAACCAGATTGATCGACAACTGTCTGTCAAATACCTTAGCGTTATTTTCAACCGTAACCTCACCTAGTCTGACCACGTCAGTAACTTTTTTTCTGAAAGTCAGGAAGTTTACTTTTTGCATTTGAAATCACTTTCTACCCCAAATCATCTCGCAAGGCGTTTTGATTCTGCTTGCGTTCTGCCTCACTGGCTTTATGAGTCTCTCGTCATTTGTTCCACACACTCATCTTCCGATCCCTCAGGTTTGTAGTCTCATGCCACGGGAATATCTGGTGCAGCATGTGGTGGCACACCACCTCGAGTCCTGTAAAACATTCTCCAAGAAATGTTTATCTGATTGCATTCTTCCCGTCAGTGCCTTTCTTATTCATTCATCCGTTCCAGTCATAAACTTATAAAGATACGCACTGAATTTTACGGCCGCTCTATTGTACCGTATGTGATCAAATTTCTCACGAACCGTGAACTCGTTGCAGGAAATGTGCGTTAAATGCTAAACTAAACCAATAATAAACATCCTGGTATGCCATTGGTTTTGGGATTTAGTTGTCCGTTTCACCTGTTTTAATTGATCTACTATATTTCCTATTTTGATTTATTGTTGTGCTTCCAGGGAAATTTTGTCCAGTCATCCACATACCACTTATTATCAGATATTCTGCCAAGACCATCAGGTCGCGTTTGTTGCGGTTAGTAGCATCTAACCCACTTACAAAACTTCGAATCATAGCATTGATTCTTCATTGGACTAGCTCTGACAGAGCTGTGTACCCAATGGTCGCCCGGTGTGGCAAACAAGGTTATTGTGACGAATATATATACTAAGTGATTGTTTAGACGTGATTCGTTCCGGTTAACATTCTGTCTGACACAGAGCTACACTCTTTTCCTTCCCGTTACCGACTGGATCCAAACACACAGGGTCAGTTGCACAAAATGTTCTTTCTCTATCCGGATCCACACTTCAAACGAATGAAACACAAATGGCGCATTATCTCACCCACTCTCCTGGACGTCTATGCCTATGTGCTTGCTGTCGGTGCTCGTGTTTACGCGGCCACCGATGTGCCCGAACTTGCCCAATGGATGGCCGAGTGTATGCGCAATCATCCACTGTTCGAGCCACGCTACTATTTGCACTTCAGTCCATCCTCGGATGGACAATCACTGACCCTAGCCTCACCCAGTGTTGAAGTGACCGGGTTAACCCCCGGCTCATCTTCCGCACAAGTGATTGACACCTCGGAGAAATTTG